TCTCTTGCTGAGAGAAATATGGGACTGTCTTCCCCTCACAGACTGTGCACAGCTTTAACCAGGTCAGTAACCAGTAAGTCATTGATTTCCATTTCATTTTGCAGTTCCTACAGTGAATATTCAAAGCTCAGTCTAAAAACAGCACATACAAAGCAATCTAGAGAAAATAATCCACTGCTAAAAAAAAAACCAAACCCACCATTGAAAGTGGAAAATATATTTAGAAGCACTCCAACTGGGAAAAAGTAGGAGCAAATAATAGAAAAGGAAAACATCACAGGCAAAATGGCCACTTCAGGAAGGCAGCTGCAATTCTTGTCCTAACTACCCATAAATTGTATCACAGAGCAGTTCCCAAAGGGAACTCTCAGACTCTGGAAAAAAGCCTAGCTAGACTAAGCCTGGAATATAGAATCAGATCTGAAGGTAGGTAACAACAACCTTTAGCATAAGAGTCAGGAGAAATACCCTAAACTGGCTTTGCCCCTAGAAGTACATCAACTGTACCATCAGACTGCCAATACTAACACCCACAAATACCTGAATACTTGTGGAAGATGTACCACCTGAACATTCTGTGCATCAGAGACTGAAACAGGTGATGCCTGTTCCAAAAATACAGAGGGTGTCACTTCAGTCTCTTGCTTCAAGTGTGGGAGGCAACAGACAGAAACTGTAACCACTAATTTACTCATTCCTGTCTCACAGATGCTTTCTCCACACAGGAGGGAGATAAATTTAGCAGTAAAGCAAAACAAACAGTGTGCTCTGTTCTGAGAGTGTGGGGGTGAGCACGGAATAGTGTCTGTATTGCCAGATGACTTCCAATCCCACTACCACTTCCCCTTTCCCTTCCCCAGAGGGTGCCATGCCTAGGATGGCACACATATGATGGGGTATCCCCCTCTCAGACTACAGAGAATCAGATTTCAAAAGAACCCAAAGGAAATAGAGAATACGTCTTTGTTCAAGCACACATTTCAGAAAAAAAACTCCCAATCCCTAAAAAGTCAGTAACAATGAAGTCTGTTGTCCTGATACAACAGAGAAATGTCATTAGTGCCCTTGGAATTTAGCCATCCATCCACTTCACTTCCTTATTACTGTTTTAACCACAAGCCACCCTCCTCCCCTCCACCACCAAGTCTTAAATTCTGGGTCTCTGAAGCCTTGGAAGATTAATATATTATTAAAGTTGTTTATAGCTACAGACAAAAGACACTTAAGCCCAGTACAGGTTTAAAGAACTATTTATTTTAAGCTTTTCTTATGTAGAAACATGTACACAAAGAAGTCCTTACATTTCCATCCCAGCCTTTTTCAGCAAATTCAGGGGGCTCTAAAAAAAATTCAGATGATGACCATGGCCCCTAAATCTTAGTCATCTTCTAGCTTGGTGGTTTGTTTTTTTTTATTACTATACTTACACACAATGTACCTAAACAGGAAGTCTGCTTTCTAAGAACTAATCCACAGGGTCTTTTTCAGGCAGGCATGGGTTCACTTCAAATTCATGCCAACCTCCAAGAAACTGGCCAAGTATTACTGAGAGGAGGCTGAATCCTAGCCAAGACAACAGCTGTGAACTAGTTTTTGGTCAGCTAAGACCACAGGCGCAGCTAAACTGCATCTGCCTTTATATTTACCTGAAGGCTCTTGTCATGATACCAACCCTATCACTATTTGCATACTCATAATTTTTTTTTAAAAAAAAACATGCACCGACAAAAACACACACACACAAGCAACCCAAACCAAAAAACAACAACAAAAGAAAACTGAAAGAAAATCCCAACCCCATGAGTATTTGGAAACTAAAAAGTTTTGCATTGATTCATTTAGTGGCTAAATAATAAAACCCATTAAGTATTTAGCCACTAAATAAGAAAAATAAAAATTCTTTAGTGAAAAATTTTGTTCTGCTATGCACCAACTTCACATAAATCCATCACAACTATTGCCCTTGTCCATTCATTATTTACTAGAGTTCTCTCACTGCTTCTACAGCTGTACAGAGTGATGGCCTAAAGTAACACTGAGGAGTTTTGCTGGGTGGTATTACTATATCTGCACCACTTCTTCCTCAAGCTTTACCCCACAATACAAAATCGTGTTGGAGAATGGCATGGTGAGGGTTTTGTTGTTGTTTTGGTTATTTTGGGGTTTGTTGTTTTTTCAACATGGTTTTAATTGGCTTAGGCTCTGTGATTTTTTCAGCTATCCTTTAGATATGTATCCAGCATATAATTGGACTCAAATCAGTGGCCCTATTGCTTTACAGTACAACTAAAAGGCAGTTTAATGTGAATTACTGAATCAGAAAATACTAATACTAGCTCTTTTGAGGATTACAGTACACTACAATATTATATAGAAAGGTGATGGGGAAAATTTCCATCTCCCTGATTTACTATTAAAATTCTTCCCGAGGTTTTCCACTGCTTAATTCAAGTTACAATAAATACATGCAGGCTGGAAGGAATTTTCAATATTGAAAGCAAGAAAACAGAATTACAAGAAGAAATGGAGTTGCTGAAACACTAAACAAGAGGCTAATGCTAATAAAATTCAATGAAAATTAAAATGCTGATCTTCAGACTTTTAAATTATTTGTTTTTAGAAGCATGTACTGATGTTGAGACCAGCTTGTTGGAGCCCGTGATAGGCAAAGTCTATCTCTTAAGAGGCAGGTCTGGTATGAAAAGTGCTTTCACTTAAGTAGCAACATATGCACACATGCAATATACAGAACCCATGAAGCCTGAAGGAAAAATCCAGAAGAGAATAAAGCAAGAACTAAAATGGAAACCCTGCTCCTTTCAGACAAGGACACACAAAGACAAAAATCACCCTTCAATCTCAGTATCTCCAGTCTGGTTCCCAGAATACCAACACTAAAGTCCATTGAATACCAACATCAATTAGTTGTACAGAGATTAAAACCATGCCCAAACCAGTGATGATTATTAAGGGCTCACTTTATGAACGAGCAGAAGCATCGTGCAATAAATCCTTGGGCAGCAGCAGAAATGAGAAAACAATGTGAAGAAAGGGGAGGAAAAAAGAAAAAAAGGTTAGTTATTGCTCCAGAGATGTAATATTGTCCCATTACAGTAAGTCATGATCTCTTTTTCCCCTGAAAGATGAATGAGTATAAAACTAGCATTAATACATGCAGGACTCTAAGAACAATTCATAATAATTCCTGGTTCCTTTATAAGATTTTAAACTGAACTCATTTGGACAACATCTTCTAAAGAAATCGAAGAGGTGACCAATTTAACAACAGTAATGATGATCATGGGAGGTTGCAGCAGCAGAATAGTTTCACCTTATAGCAAAATTTCTGCTCATCTAACCATTTAATTGTGCAATACAAACACCAGGGACTGCTCTCCAAATGCAGAAATGAGGAGAATGACAAACTGGGCATGAGACACAAAGTCCAGATTCACTAAACTGAAGATATAGTGAAAGGTAGAGATACTAGAGGTCATCACTGACCTGTTCCATGCATGGACAGGTTCAGGCCACATTTTTCAAAAGTGCAGTTACACTTCTAGCTGAATTTCAATGTAGCAAATAAGCTTCCACGCTTAGACTTTTAATACATCCACCATCTATCCACCAAAACCCCCAGCCAGTAGGAAACAACTAAAAGGCAAAATATTGATGGCTAAACAATAGGATGAATGATTATTACTTGTCTGGGCATCATGAAAGCCACAAATAACTGAACTTGGTTTGAACTTTGGAAATATCTGTAGAAGAAAAAGCCCTAAAGTACAACAATACTCAGTTTCTTTTTACTGTTTGTCAAAATTCACCACACTTTTAATGTGACAATCTTTTTCCACTGAAAAACTGAGTATGCAAAACTCCTTTCAAAACACAAATGTAATGTGACACAACAGGTAGAGCACTGCATCTTCCAAATACTCGAAACTTGGAACGTACTTATTTGACCATCTGTTCTCAGTCTACATTAAATTGCATACCAGACATCTGGCTCAACAAATTAAAGCTCATTGTCTTCTAAGAATCTTAAGGTTAAAAAAAAAGAAAGAAAGAAAGAAAACATACCATGCCTGAATGTTTCCTATTAACTCTAGCAATATCACTGTTATCCCAGAAAGCTGAAGGACAAACACACAGAAATCATTGTCTTTTAATACAAATCACTTGTTCACTTGAAGTGGTTTGAGACCACAAAGAGGATTTTAGTCAGAGCTTCCAAGCAGTACCCAAAAGGGCAGAGTTGGTAGCTGTGTAAGTGCTGTTACCCACAGGAGGTAAATACTCACCAGAACATGTGTTTGTAGCTGAGGTTTTTTGTGGGGTTTTTTTTAACTTATCAAGAAGATAAGTTTCTGTTTGCTCACCTGAGAGCATTCCATCAGTCCATACAGGCTGATGTTACCTATAGTATATTTGCTGTCAATATAGATAGTGTGGATAACACAGATTTCCTTTAGTTTGCAATGTAATACAGCTTTAATGAAAGATATTCCCGCTTGTAACCAAAATAATTAGAACTTGGAACAGTGTTTGACCAGGACATCTGTGTCTCTCCTTTTGCAAGTCACCACACCCAATTCACAGATCTCTGTATTAGAAATCTGCAAACTTAAGTGTTGAAGGTCAAATGCTGACCTTACCAAAAGGCTCCCACCACCAAGTGGCCAGGACTGAAAACTTCTGGCAGCCCCTACTTTTCTGTGGCAGCCTCTTTGCAGCCCTACTCACACTGAGGCTCTGAGGTCTTCAAACTCAAACCCCAAACCCAGACACCAAACCACTGTTTCCAAATAAGGATTTGGCTTTTTAAAAAGAAATAAGGCAAATGGTGCGTTACACTTCAGTCTGCCAGTTAAATATACAACATGCAGCTTGCACACTTGTTTGGCAGCTTCCAAAAGTACTCACTTGCTCAGTTTGACCTCCACTGATCAATACTCAGAGGTCCAAACATGAGCTCAAGGAGAGGGCTGCATACTAACCTGGTACCCCTGGAAGAAACTGAGTATCTCCTTCATTCCTGTGTTATATGGCAAGCCCTGCATCCGGACTAAGGCTCCAGGCTGGGGCAGGATCGGAGTGTGGGTGGCAGAGGCAGCAGCTGCCACAGCTCCTGGAGGAGCTGCAATGTACCCCACTGTGGTAGGGGATACTGGAGGACTGAAAGAGAAAGGGAGGACAATTGTTACAAAAACCAATAACTGGTTCTACTACTCAGAACAGGCAAAGAAGAAACTGAAAATTTAGATTTGAAAGTAATCAAAATACAGAAAAACAAACAGTCCTGATGTGGACTGTTTTGTGGACTTAATTTCTCTTCAGCATCTCATATTTTTAGAGAAGGGAAAATAGCTAACATTTGTAGTTAAACACAAAGAGTGGCATTTGTTATTTCACAGGGGAGTAGAAAAAGTAGCTGCAGATGACTTGTTTTAAGATCATTAATAAAAACATGAATAAATAAAGAGGAGGGGCGTGTCATAGTATGAAAATGAGGAAAATGCCCAAATCTGGCATTTCTGAGCCACAAAATAAAGAGTAATTACCATCTCCATCTCCAGTCAGGGCCTGTCTAGCAAATTACCAGATACTCAAGCTAGCAAGTATCACAAGCCTAGGAGCTATCAGTGAACAAGCTATTTCCCCACAACCCCTGTACCAGACTTCAGTGGCTCATGCCATACCATCTGTGGGAAGGGAAAAGGTGGAGATCTATTTTGCTTTCACATGTGAAAATGTTCTTTGGTCTCACTGATAGACAAAATCAAACGTAGTACACACCCATGATGAGCCTTTCCCCACAAAAACAGTATTGTAAATAACAAACTGAGAGGTGAGGGTAGAGAGGAGCCCCCTCACAAGGTTACAGAGAAACAGTTAAAATGGTTTCTGTGTCTGTTGCTGAACACTAAATTCCTGGGATTACCTACACTAGAAGTACAAATTTAAGAGCAGTTCACAGGTGTCCACAGAGCTACCTGCTGCACTGGGATGAAAGGTCAAGAGGAGCAGTGAAATCTCAGGGTTACCTGGGATAGTAAGCTGTGTAGTTCATGTAAAGCTGAGCAGCCTGGGCTGGGTAGTAGGTAACAGCTGGAGGAGCAGCTGCAGAGGCCTGGGGTGTCCTGGTGGTTGGCAAGAGGGCTTGTGGCTGGTAAAGGGCTGCTGCCTCTGCTGGGATCACAGCTGCTGTTTGGAAAGCAGCATAAGCTGGTGGAGAAAGACCTAAAAACAAAGCGGGACACAGCAACAAAAAGCAATCAGAATGGCGAACTCTCAGATGAGTATTTCCTCTCCTCAGTGTGATTAAAGCCATCTGGGCATGATTGATAAACACTTGAGCAAAGACTGTTCTCTAGCCTCTCCCCTGGAGACCTTTGCTACATTGCCACAAAAAACAACCAGGGCACTTGGAATGAGCAATTCCTAGAAGTTCACAACTCCTAGAGCTGAGCAGCCTTGTCTATATGTAAATGGAAAGTAGGGAACTTCAGAGTTGTTAAAAGAAAGCATAAAGCCATGTGCATAGAGAAAGCAGGCGTGCACACCAACACACCCTTGTGTTTTCTAACAGAAGTTGTACTCTGTGGGACAAAAGCACCATAATAGTAGCTACACATGGGCATCCATAGCTGCTGACCATGAGACTTCACATATAAGCTTCCTGCAACTTCAAAAATTATTTTTAGGATATAGCAAATGGAAGGGAGAATACCCCACTAGATCACTAGTCTGATTCATTTTGATGAATAAATGCCTGATTTTTACAGAAACAACAAACTTGGCTTGGTGTGCAGTCAAATTTGCTTTATATACTATATTTGGCAGCTTTTTACTATTTTGCAAATACACATCAGTATCTGCTTTGTGATTTGGTAGTGAAACTAATTAGAACAGTACAGTAAAATTGCATTATTGTTCCTCAGTAAGGTTCACTGTAATCTTAAAATAAAAAAATTAAAATCCATTTATCTTCAGCACTCTATGGTTGGTTAGTATATCATCCCAGTGGGTGTTTTCCTTCAAAAAGAAGCCCAAAGAGTACCTTCTCAAGGCTCTGAGGCAAGATAGCAAGAGCACTCATCGGCAGCTGGAATACAGAACTTCTCCCCATTTTAAAAATCCCTCTCATTCCAAGTAGATTTCACTACAGGCAAGTCTACTGCAGAGCTCAGAAGAACAGTACACCCACAAAAAGCAAAGTGTGCAACAATTTCACTGGCAAGGCCTTGCTGCCCTCTACTCACCACCGAAAATACAATAAAAATGCCTCTGATCAGTCCCATTATTGCCCAAAGGGAACAATTCCAATCTTAGTATGTACACAGATGGATGATTATTGATCATGGCAAAACCCGAGTCAAAAGGTGAAAGGCCACAAAGCTTCAGCACCTACCACATATCAGCCTTTAGCAGCAGAGAGCAGAAGAATTGGAGACTTACATGGTAACTTACATGGCGGTGGGGATAAGCCACTACGATTTAAAGTGCCACCCATTAAAACAAAGTTCATCTCCTCTCCAGAACACTGGAATACTTCCACATAACGGTCCTTCATCATTTTTTTGTGACATTTTTGAGCCACCATAAAGGCTTTGTCAGCAGATTTCATTTGGATAAAAGCATCACCTGACGGTCGTCCCTAAGGGAGGCGGGGAAATAATTGTAGGTCAATCTGTTATTAAATCACCCAGATCACAAGAAATGTAGAAAGGACTAAGATCAAACATCTACTGAAAGCCTGTATCATTATTCCTTCTCTGGCATGAATGACAATTCTATTTAGGAGCAGAAAAATCAAGACTCATGCAACAAGTACCCAGTTAACACAATACTACTTCAGTCCTTTGCAGAAAGAAACAGAATCATGTAGCATGGAAAAAAATGTGGAGGTCTCATCCAAAAACTGTTCAAAGCAGGACTAACTTTCAATTTACATCAGGCCACTCATGGCCTTCTCCACTTGAAATCTGAGCATCTCCAGGGGTGGAGATTCCATATCACCTCTGGGAACCTGTTCAGGTGCTTAGCTAATTTTTCATCGTGATTTTAGTTTTTTTGCTTTTCACCCAACTGGAATTTTTTTTTTAATGTAGTTTATTCACACTGTCCCTTATTCTTTTGCTGTGAAGCTCTAGGAACAGCCTGGCTTTGCCTTCCTTACAACTACTTTGAAGGTAATAGTACAACAGAATAAAGTTTCAGATCCTTTAGTAAGTCCATAGCTACATCAGAGATGATTTCCAGGTCTGATTTTCTGCAGTCTGATAGGTATACCTGTCTGTATAAAATACAAAAACTTCCTTAACCAAAAAAATATACACACAAAAAAAACCCTGAACAAATACAGTAGATCTCTCATTTGTTTTCTCTAATACCTCAGTATTTCTGTCATTAAGAACTTATTTTTAACACAAGACAACAGGGAAAATATATCTCTATGATCACATAATTAAAATATACCCAAACCACAATTTTTAATTATCAACTTTCTTTAAAGCCTGAGCAACTGCTAATCAAGTTAGAAAAACCTCATTTTTATCCAAAGACCACTCAAACAACACTGCAGGAACCCTGAAGCTGACAGAGAAGATATTCCACCTAAAGGAGACGTTTCTATTGTGTGTCTCCAGCCTCTGGCTGAAAACAGCCTCTAGGATAAGGTTATCATTCATAGAACAAGCTTCATCTTCCCCAGGCTGACGCATATATACATACAGGGAGAGAAAAACAAGACCATATGTAAAAGGAGAAGAGAAATGAGGCAAAGACAGACAAAGAGAACATTGTATTTTCCCAAGGTTGGAGAAGACTAAAGCCAAGATCAGGTAAGCTGCCCTGACTTCTTACCGGTTCAATCACTGCAAAGTTACTACTCCCATGCAAAATGCTGTTACCTGCTGATTAAGGACCATGTGAACTCCATGGGGTTTGATATCCCCTGTGGCATCTCCCATAAATTCCAAGATGTCATCAATGCCAGCAGTGTAAGGAAGCCCTCTGAGCCGGACACAGTCACGGATGCTGCCCGTGGCAATGGTGTATGGTGGGGGTATGACTGGAATGATGGGAGTTGGAAGAGTTGGAATAAGAGGTGTTGACATGTATCGATTAAGTACCTGTTGGCAAAAAACCCACAGCAATGCAGATTTACAATCATTTGTCTGAGACAGAGCAGTCTATTCCCAACATCAGAGAAAAAAACCCTTCTTACACCAAATTATTGCAGTTAGTTTCATGTTAGGCATTTGAAAGTTTCAAATGCAGAAAAGGAGAGGGGAAGGCTAACAAATTCAATTTGCTAGATGTCAATAACAGACTTTTCTCAAAAACAGACTTTTCTTTAAAAAGTTAAAAGCCAGTTACTGTTTTTAGTATCTCAAAAAGGAAAATCTGAAATCACATCTGTGCTAATAAACCAGTATTGTTACTTAGCTAAATCAGGGTAAATTAAAAACAGTAATTTTAAAGAATTGAGGCTTGAAATAGCTAGTAAGTAAAAGCACTAATTATAATTTATTCTAAAACCTGATTGGTTAAGTGAGGGTGCTTATTTGTTTAACCTAAGTGCTCATCTCCAAGTACAGAGTTTTTGAGGAAAAAAAAAATTAAGGATAAGAATATAAGAGACTTTGATCTCAACATCTTCTCTTGACTCATTTCCAAATGACAAAGGGAACATATGACACATGTTGGCACTTAGTGCTGAAAAACATTTTTAGTGATGATTATCACAAATAAACACATGAAAGAAGTACCAAAAAAATAGGTCGCAAAGCTTTAGTTTTGTTAAAAGTGATTCAGCTTAGGGGGTTTGTTTCAAGAATCTTCTTGTAATGCATTTCAGGCCAGAAATCTCTCTTAGTTGTGTAGAGAACATTGCAATTACTTTGTACTAATACTAAGTAGAGGAGAGCTGACTTCTTGTAATTACTCAAAAAAGCAGCCTGTAATTTCATAAGAAATAATCTCTTGCCCAAACAGCAAAAAAGTTCAGGTGTTGGCCTAGACAGCTGTCACAGAGGAAGAAGTAATGACAAATTGGTAGAATATAAGTTATATCCAGGTCTACCTAAAAAGAGTGGAAGCAGAGACTTGGTCACTGAGTCAGAGTGATCTTGCTCCTTAGAGGATTTTGCTTCATTCTCTCTCAGGAGGGAAGTTGTAGGGGAGGGGGAAATGCCATTTCCAGTCTTCACAGCACATAGATTCTTGGCTGTGGGAATATCCATATCACAGTAGTAGCAATGGGTCTACAAGTGTGCATATTCTTTCCTTTGCCCAATCCCTTCTACAGAAAGATTTCACCTGTCACATAGGTTGCACAGTAATACAATGTAATGTATTACATTTTTATAGCCAGTGGTTATGCAAAGACCAGACCAAATCTAATAGTGGTTCCCTCAGGAGCCACCAGTCTAGAAATATTCTGTGTCAGGAATAAAAATATAATGTGTGGTATTTTTCACAGGGATAAGCTGCTGATGACAAAAAAAAATGGTTTTACCAGTTTAAGGAAATAACAATAGGAAATGGTGGAAGATAGGGAAAAAGGAAATATGTCACCTCAGGAAAAAAAAAATACTTCCTTTCACCAAAAAATCAGATACATCCTCTTAATTCATAGCTTCCAAGAAAGTAGTTGCTCATTTCATGCATCCAGATTTGGATTCAATATTAGAAATTCTGTACATGGAGACTAGCATTTCAAGACAACACAAGATTTTCAAGAAGGATTTTTACAGTGCTATCAACCTACTATATTTTTAGAATTATTTTTGTGATTTCAGTGAGGAGAAAAAAATTATGCACTGATTTTTACTTTGTGGTCCGAGGGATGGTTAAAAAAACCACTCAAACAGTGGCAGCTTAAAAAAAAAAACCTAAAACAGTCCCCCCAAATCAACAAACAAAGCAAAACCAGTGCTGCACAATTTTCCATGCCCATTAGGAACCATGTATTGGCCTTTCTCGACATTTTTTATATAATAAATGTTCATGGTTGTCTACAACATATATATGAGCAAGTGTTAGAAGAAATGTTTCAACTGTTCAGTTTTGAGTCTCACAACCAATAGCTACAACCTGTTGGACCTC